TATAAATATAAGGAAAAAAAAATTTATATATTTTGTAACGGCCTATTTCGACGAGTGGTAACTTTTGCTACGGTTGGCCGTTTTGCACGTCGTTAGAGATGGGCAAAATTAGGTTGTGAGCATTTCGATATATATTAAAAATGTAATATTTTGACTTTATTTAGCATCCCCATAATAATTTCAAAAATTGAGATAAAAACAAACAAAGAAACATTATTTACATGATAAAGGGGGTGGGTAATAAGTAATAACTGGGGTGGGGTGGGGTGGGGGCGGGTGGGGAAAAAAGCTTTGGATCTTTTTAACACTATGCACTGCCACGTCTGCAAATTTGAAAAGTTGTGAACCAGAATGTGATGCAAGGCTGTAAGAGTAGCAAAATCCTTAATTTATATATGACTAGTTATTAATACTTTTTGTTCTTTACCGCATTTGTTAATTTCCTATTTGTTCTTTGTTTACTTACTAAATATGTGATCACATTTTGCGTTTTGTCCAACAATTAGACATATTTTTCAATTTTTACATTTTTTTAATAAAATAATTTTGCAAGTAATTAAAAAATTTTCCTTGCCTTTGAATTACACATTTTCCAAAAAAATAAAAATAAAAAATCATTCTGACAAAATGTGTACTTAAAAAATGGGACTCAAATAGGGACTTGGTTACCTCGAGATTAAAACTCCATTAGCCCTGACTCTTTCCACTTTACTGTAGAATGTGCAAAATCAAGTAATCAACCATGCATAAAAGGGTGGAACTTTGGTTTTGTCGGGGGTGATTTTAATGTGCTCTTTCATCAACCAAGAAAGATTCGGTGTCAAAACTGCCAAATCCATGTGTTATTGATGATTTTTTTCAAAAGTTCTCAAGCATTATAACCTAGAAAATGCAAATTATGAAGGCTCACAATATACTTGTGCAAAACGGGCATATGTGGTAACTCCTTCGCCATGGATCTTTGCTCTATCATTCGTGTTCAACACTTGAATCGGAACACTTTAGACCTTTGCCCCTACTGTAGATTATTGATAAACGGATTCGCAACTGCCCAACTAATTTACTAATATGATATTAATGATGATGTTGTTTCAACATTTATTATTTGCTATACCCTTTCGACAATTAAATGATTAAAAATAATCCTTGAGATGCCTCATGGCAAGGCAGGATTATTGGATATATTTTTCTTGATGTATACATCAATGCATTATTGGATAATTTTTTTTTAATGAATGCATAAACGCGTTGAAAATACAAGCAGAAGTTGCATTGAAATAACAAATAAATTTCCATCACTCGAGTTGAATCCAAAGTGCTTCGTCGGAAGAGAGCTGAATGATTCAACAAAATGATTGACTCTAAATTACCAATGCCATGGATAGGCGTATACGGTGCTATAGCATCTCTAATATGGACTGTGGCACTTACGGTTGATGCAATACATGTAACTGTTATGTCTTAGGTCTAATTAATTTTGGATATAAACACTTTTAATATATAATTGATGTATTTCATTTATGGCAGATTTATTATTTAATTGAACTAATATTCTAATTAATTAAATAACAAAATCAATAGATTCAAGTTTTGGTGATTTTTTAATCACTAAGAGTTGTGAATGTGAGATACAAATAACATATNCTAATATTCTAATAAATTAAATAATAGAATTCGTAGATTCAAGTCTTTGGTAATTTCTTAATTATAAGGAGTTGTGATTGTGAGATACAAATTATATATGACTGCATAATTGGAGAACCGCTTGAAGATTTCACATGGATAACTATTTGAGTGTCAGTGATTAATATTTAACGTACTTTGACGATGTTGGATGATGTTCTGCCAAGGGTAGCTAATACGACATTGTTTGAGTATGTAAAAATCATATGAATGTTGTGAATGATCAATAGATGATTCGTCACTCTTAGATAGTAAGATATTATGATATATATTTCATTCAGTTAACTTGATAACAAAATCCTTGACCAAGGTGTACTTATAAGTCGAAAAGAGTTTTCGACTTACATTGACTTAATATTGTGATGAAAGATATGATCGATAATTGAGATTGTCACACATCCGTATCTTGTAATTGATCGGGTCATATTGACGAAATGATTATGATTTTACAGTAAACTAGTAAGTTTAGTTTTGTCATACCATGTGATATTTTCCGTCACATGTATTACTATGACATGGTGCTATATGTCAATTTGAGTTGATAGATGTGAATTGATGATAAACTGAAAGGGGGTATTTTAATTTATCAGTTTTTAATTAGATCAAATAATAATTCAATTCATTAGAAATTGTGATCAGGAACCTAATGGGTCACACATGAAAGAATAACTAGAAGAATGAGATTTACCAAATAATTAATCAACAAGTATTTGACAATTAATTAATTGAGTCATTTGTTAATATGCCAAAACTAATTAAATATTAGATTGAGTTAAGTTTAAGAAATGGGCCAAGCTCACTTGGATTTTTACCAATAGGTTGCTATCACAAGAAAAGAAGAACCCTAGTTTTCTCAATCTTGTTTCCTGTGTGAATTTATATTGGAGGCTGGATAATTAGACAATCGTGAATTGCAGATCAGGATTGTTTGTGTTCGAGATAGGCAAATGAATCTACAGAATTCAACAGAGGTATAATCCCTAACTAGAAAGTAAATATGGGCGCTCAGGCTCAACCAATCAAATACTAAAAATAAGTGGGGCGAGAAAGCCCAAGAAACAATATGTAAGACTCTAATACTTTAGATGTATGTCATTGACCAACTAAACAATGACATTGATCATACCCGCTATTGGTCAATTACTACCATCGGCCTTTGAGATATTTCCCTTATTATGATCATTCCTCAGATGTTTGTATTGACCGACACAAGCTTCTAGGAATCCTTCTTGGTTAGAGGCCAGATGTCGCGCTGCAAAGCATTGCATGTCTCTATGGTATGCC